AAAAAAAAAAAAATGGATCGCATTTATTAAATTAACAGAAAAAGATACATTGTCCCAAATAAAGTGATTATGAATGACTGTCGATAGTGATTGCCACTGAAATGAAATTATTTAGATTTTTACCTGACCATGTAAAGGCATACGCGTGCATAAATATCTTTATCTACAAAGTCCGGCAATTTTTCAATTGCTTCTAATTCAAGTAACAAATCAACAGCATCCGCTTCAGCATTATGTTTCAAAAAAAATGGAACAATCTCCAAGGCAAGTGCCATAAGATCATCAGAAGGCAACTCATTATCCTGACGGTATTCGTATTCCTGACCAATTTCAGTTGATAGATGCCTTTAAAAGAGTATAAAAAAAATTGTTTAATAACTATAAAAAAATATTAAAAGTTATAATTAATCACAGCACACCTCACATATTCGTGCCCCCAAGATCCCGGATCTCCACGTGACCCTTTCAACCTATATTTCAAAGAATCTCTTTTTCCTTCATCGTAAGTCATCGCCAAAACAGATAAAATATCAGACAAAAAGAGCTATGACAAAAAAAAACATGTATTAATGTATAACATGACATAGTTACAAAATATATGCGTAGTCTTTATTAAATTTATTACCTTGTTATCAGATTCAGGCCAACTCTCATAAATTTCAGTTACGGTAGCATAATGAGGTCTCAAGAACTTTAATGGTTTCGGAACCGAGGTCATCGAGCTGGTAGACGTTCGAATTAGGGTACGAAGACTTTCTAAAGCCGGTCTGTGAAGATTAACATCATTTTCCTAGAATTTTTCAAATCAATGTCAATCATTCAGTAACAGACAGATTAATAATATTAACGATGTTGACTATCAAACTCCACCTTTAATCGTTCAACTAACATCTCCAGTTCATTCTTAAGCTGGAGATCTTCTTCAGACTGAAAACGTGAAATAATGATGTCAATGCATGCATATTTAGAATGAAGATATCTCAACAGAATTCGGTTCCTAACGACGTTTCTTGCGACGACGAGTCGTTATCGTGTTTTATCACGCGCTGTTCAGAGTTGCAGCCAAGTTTATAACTTCGATCAATGCGATATGGAATTTAGCGTCGTCTTTATAGGATTAATGGTGTTAAAAAGCATACCAATTCTTCAAATTCGTCCTTTTTTTCTTTATCGTTAGACATGGGTGTCGAAAATATTTTGCTCTCGACGTAAATTTAAAGCAAAACTGATTTTTGACAGCCAAAATCGTAAATAATTTAGTATGTTGAAAATATTTTAGTATTCCGAAAATATTCCTGGAATGTCGAAGATATTAAAATGTCATCGAGAAGCATGCGTACGTACGTCCTATTAATACGTATGCCTAAAGGTATACGTAATCATCAAACATCTTGATCTGTACTTCGATGATCCCGTGTAACTGGTCTATAAAATCAAAATTTTTGAAAAAATTTTGTTCCTCCTCTTTACCGTTGGCTTTGTATTAATTTGTTTGCTAACAATGGTACGTTATCTTAAAGATTAAAATATGTTCACAACAATGTGATCCTTTCTAAAATTTTTAATTCATATTAGTATTTGAGTTTTTTTTCAATTTTTAAATTTTTAAAAAAATTCACAAGTTTAAGAAAAGATATATCATCCGTTTAACTTTAAAAAAAAAGTATCATCATAATTTTAAACCAAAATTTGCACAATTTACCATCTAATTCTTTTTCAATCAATATATCCCTTCTTCATTCATTCATAATCACTTTATTTGGGACAATGTATCTTTTTCTGTTAATTTAATAAATGCGATCCATTTTTTTTTTTTT